TGTTTGAAGCATTATTTTCCAAATGAGGAGGAGAGAAGAAGTGTCAATATTGAGCTTGCTAAATTTTTTGGTTACTTAGAGGACTTTGGTGACCAAGAGTCATTGTGTGATAGGTGGAGAATTGATCCAAAAATGTGGTGGATTATACATGAGCTTTAGTGGCCTCCTACATTCCAAAAATCGTCATACAATGCTTGCCAACATTTCAGTCCTCATGCTTGTATGAAGAATTGGAGTACATACTCGGTCATCCCAATCAATGGACAAAAAAGAAATAAAAATTACTCACAACGTTTGAAAAATTAATTTATGTGCAAACATAATCTTTGACTTCTCTCCAAGGAAACTCAACTTACTATGAAGAGGAGAATAACATGATGTGGGCATGTTTGCTAATGGAGATGGATTGTGAATATCTCTTGAGGATATGGGATTTTAAAAAATTTGCTATCTTCACTTTGATGAGCCTGAGTTAGAAGTTTTATGATATTTCATCCGAGTGATTAGCAACCAAAAGACAAAACCACTGACAGAAGCTAATCCTTATCTTCCCTTCATATTGATAGTTGAAATTTCATGTGGCTGGACAAGTTTATCTTCTTATTTTTGTTGTTTTATAGACATTTAAATTATTTAATGCTTAGTTTTATTCAATTTATTTGTCATTTCAAAAATATTTACATCATGGTCCTTATTTTATGTTATTTTATATATTATAATGTCGTATCCCGTCCGTATCCGTATCCTGTATGTTTAAGAATCTGGTGGTGTCCCGTATCTGTACGTGTCGTATCACGTATCGCCGTATCCGTATCGGTGCAACATAGGTGGGATGTGTTGCTGGAGATGAATATGAGGTCTCTTGATGAATGGGAATATTAGAAATTGTGTTAATCTTTCACTTGATAAGCCTGAATGGAGCTAAGATATTTATGAAGATGTATAAAAGTTCAAAGATAACCACAAAGAAGTAAGTCTATCCATTCCTTACTATTATGAATAGTTGAAACTTCCATGAGCTAGACAATTTATGTTTTTTGTTTTTGACTAGCAACATTTGAATGCTTACTTTTATTATACTATAATAAACTACAGTCTACAAATGATTGCTTTCATTTTCTGCATTAATATATGTTATCTGATTAATTTCTTAATTATATCATTTATAAATTAAAATATGTGTCCGGTCGTACCCGATCCTGTATTTTAAGACAATTTACTATGTCCGTTGTATCGTGTCGTTCCGTTCGCTTCATATCATCGCGTGCAACATAGATTTGAAAGATTAATTAAACTCTCGCAAAATATTCAGGATTAAATCCTTAATAATTAGTTATTAAGATTCACGTCTAATTAAGAATGAATTTTAATCTACGGAACCAAAATTAACTGGACGCCTAATATTAGCGCGCATTGTTATTAAGGGTCAATTCATAGATTAAAATTTACTCAATTTAATTTAACAAAGGCAACTTACTTCATGACGTAGGAGTACTCTAGGATAAGGAACTGAAACTAATAATAGGATAGAACTGGAATATATCGGAACTTACAAGGATATAATGAAAATAACTTAAGATACATAAGAGCTATAGAAGTTAATTCTATTTGGCATTCAGGGAACTAAAATGCGTTGAGAGTAAGGATCTACGTTGATAGTTAGGATTTAAAAATTTGTATCCGGTGTGGGTCAGTACTAGAAATGGTGTGTTATTGTAGATAAGAGTTTAAAGGTTAAGTTATAAAATTAATAGATGTAGAAAGAATATCACTTTAACAGATTGTGCTTCATGATGCAATTTTAATATTATAAGTGCTTTATGCTCTCAGGCATAGTTTGGAAATGATCTCTATATATAAATTTTTGACATTAGACTTAAAGCTAGATATGATTATCTTTAATAGCAAAATACCATCTTTGTATAAATACAGTTTTTGCATTGAAGAGAAATTTAAAATGACATGTTGATAGACGAGGTAGATGATTTTAAAGTTCAGGGGCCGATGATTGAAACGCACGAATTATGCAAGATGATAGGTTTGTTGTTACTTATGATTTTTCATTGCTTATTCCTTATTAAGAAGATATGGACAGATACTCATCATCTATAAAAGAGGATCCTACACGTAACAGATGGTGACTTTTTCTTATTAAAACATTAAATCGTTTAGATTGAAAAATTGTAATTATTATCACGTAAATTATTGTACCCAACTCGATTATTAGTTTGGACTTATAAGTATAAGGTGGCAAATAAAAATATTAGTTTAATAGACATTTTAGGATTAGATGGGTGCATTAAGAAATATTAACTAAATATATTTTTGTGAGCATTATGATTTTTGCTTGAATGGAGCTGCTAATATTATGTGGGGAAAAGTGAGCTCTGATTGTGAGTGCAAAATTGCATAGAATGTCCTGTAGAGTCTATATTCAATAGGGAAAAGCTACCTAATAGTATAAAATAGTTAGGTGTGTGAATCCTAATGTGCAGAAAAAAGATTAAAAAATAAAGCTTATTGTTATAAAAACTTGGGTTAATTTTAAAATTCTGATAATTGGGAAATACTATAAAGTGTCGTAAGATGCTAAGAAAGCAATATGCGAGCAAAACATAGCTTAGTAGTGGATTTTATTAATAGATAGATATCTAATGAGGGAGAAAGATATATGTATAAGTAGCCAAACAAAGAGATAGGAGTAGTAAGGATTGAGTGTAATGTAAGGTTGTTTTAAAGCATGGTAACGACAAAAATACATTCTTAGAAAATGATATTCAACAAAAGATGGATGAGTATTTTGCTAAACTTTTAAATGAAGATTGTAAAATAGTATTGATATAGTAGTTGACCTTTAGCCCACCTAAATGAAAAAAGATTTCTGTTTTTCAAGTCGATTAATTGTAAAACTGAAGGTGGAAAAGCTGTGGACCTGATGATCCCAATTATATTGAAAGCTTAGAGATAAGGGAATATTCATGTATCTATAACTTTTTCATATTAGTTTTTTGAGACTCTGAAAATTAGGTGCAGATGAGTGGAGATGAGTATGAGGTTAATTTGCTATTTAATGAATGAAAGGTCGATGTCAAGAGTTTGGCGAATTATAGATATTAAGTTAATGTGTCATCGTTTTAAAACTATGGGATGGCGAGGGGTTATGGAGCTAAGGTGCGGCGTGAACTGAATGTTCAAATCGGAATTGTGGATTCGATGCCGGGGATTAGGTCGCTATGGAACCAATCTCAACATCTATTAAAAAGTGATTGATGGGCGAAATAATAGAGGGATAAGGCGCCGCTCTTGGCGAACATCACTGATATCTTATTGATTGTAGAAAAAGCATATTATGAATCACACTTCAAGAGCACACGCCCTGCTATTGCGCAGAGTTCTTGAAAAAAAGGAAGCTCACACAGTGCTTATATTCCAAATAATGTAAAGATTATGTATAGCCTGCAGCTCATTTATCTCTGTGCCTCCAGAACCCAAGGTGGGATTGACCAAGTATTTCCCTATTTCGGTTGGGTTACATCAAGGATCAGCCTTAAGCCCATATCTTTTTGCTTTAGTCTTGGATGTTCTCACTAGACATTTGCAAGAGGATGTACCTTGGTGTATGCTTTTTGCTGATGATATTCTTCTTGTTGATAAGACTAGAGAGGGAGTTGAAGGTAAACTTGAATTATGGAGGTCAACCTTAGAGTCTAAAGGTTTTCACTTGAGTAGATCTAAAACGGAATATATGGTGTGTAATTTTAGTAGTAATAGACCTAGTGAGGGGTTTGTGACTTTGGGCGATCAAGTCATTAATAATAGTGCACGTTTTAGATATCTTGGATCAATTGTTCAGAGTGATGGTGAAATAGATGGGGATATTATCAGCAGAATTCAAGTTGGATGGTTGAAGTGGAGGAATGCATCGGGCTTGTTATGTGATAGAAATGTACCCCTCAAACTTAAGGGAAAATTCTATAAGATGGTAGCGAGGCCTGCAATGCTTTATGGTGCCGAATGTTGGCCATTAAAAGAGAAGCATAATACTAAGTTAAGTGTGGCAGAGATGAGAATGCTTAGGTGGATGAGTGGCTTTACCCTTAGAGATAGGATACGAAATGAGCATATACGTGAAAAGGTTGGAGTAGCTCCAATAGAAGATAAGATTAGAGAGAGTCGCCTTAGATGGTTTGGTCACATAAAACGGCGGCCTTTCGATGACCCGGTTAGGAGAGTAGAGATATTAGATTTGACTTATGTTAAGAAAGGTAGGGGTAGACCTAAAAAGACTTGGTTAGAAAATATTAGAAAGGACCTTTCTTTATTTGGTTTAAACGAGAATTTGACTTTTAATAGAACACAATGGAGAAAAAGGATTCATGTAGCCGACCCCACGTAGTGGGATAAAGGCTTGATGTTGTTGTTGTTGTTGTAGGACACTTTACTTTTGGGGTAAGCAATTGTAGTAGACCAAGTTGTAGATTTGAGAAAAATTATGGTACTGATTTTAATACTAATAGAAAAATTGCACCAAATAATAACAAAATATGCATGGCTTCCCCAAAATAAGATAGCAATTTTGTTAAAGAAAATTTATTAACTTTCTGATCAGCAAATTCAAAGTAATCACAAATCCATGCATACAATTGAAATCGACATAATTAAGTTTTAAGGATCTAATGAAAGTGGTATTTGAAAGAATGTCATCGATATGAGTACTCAGGTATCCAAAGCATAAGCAGCAATAACTAGTTAAGTTTATTCTGAACTAGAGAGGAAGTTGCTTATCTAATTCCCACTAAAAAGATGAACAAGGTAAGAATGCTTAAACACGTGCTCCTATATACATAAAAAAGAACTTTGAAAACAAAGTTAAGAGAATATCCAAGATGACTACCAACTAGAATGCATCCGCTCCAATTCAGTATCATTTTTATCACCTAATGAAGTAATAAGCAAACATTCAACATCCACATGATTTCTAAATTGGAGGAAACTATTACCTTCTTTTGAGTTTTGCTTGTATCTTGTACTGTAAACATCTCTGTAAAAATGATGGCTGAAGAACAAGAAATCATTATGACCGAATTAAACATTTGAAGCAACAAGTGTTAAAAGTTGAAGAACTAAAGAGATGGGAAAGAAGAAAAAAATTGGTTTGAAAAGCCATAGCAGTAAGGAATTTACCTTTCGAATAGCCCGGCGTTGAAGAATATTATAGAATTCAACAGGTTTGCAGTATATGGAAAGACTTTCTTCAGCTGCAAGCTCCTCTGCAGCAGTTAAGCAAACCCTTGATTGCTGACGGCACATCTGATCAGCAGTCCTAGAACGGCTACAACTGCAGCCAAGGGCCCTGCATTATCAAGACAATTAACAAGCCATTTGACATGAATAAAGAACAATAATCATCTCATTAGTCAAAGTGAGGTTATACTACAGTAAGAATATGAATACAAGTGCAATAGAAAGGCTATGGCTAACTCAGTTCACGGACAATTAAACAACCAAATGCTGAACATTAGGTAAAATACATACGCAGCTTCATGATCAACAAAAGGCAAGCCTGGCATTCTGGCTTTGCTGTATACAAAAAGCTCACATTTTCGTAGACTTGACCATGTGAATTAAGTGATAAACTGCTCAGCAAAACAGTAATTGCAGTCCACTAAAACTTCAGCAAAGCCAATAACCCTGTCATTTTGTAGGAATTTGCCAGAATGTGGTAATGAATACCTTAGTCTCTGCAATTTAAAAAAAAGTGGGCACATCTAAGAAGGATTAAAATACATATTTAGATAAGAATCAATCCACCTTCAAAAGGATAAAGATCATAGATCAAAATAAAATATTAATGAATTGAAAAGTAATCAAGTACCTGAAGGTAAAGTTGGAGAGAACAACATAAAATAATGTAGATGATTATCTTTTCTTAATTGCGCATAAAAAGGTATCAATATAAATGCATTTTGTAGGATAAAAATAATGCCAATAACAACATTGAAATAGACTTGACCAATGAAAAGCTTTGAAGTTTTCTACAGTTTCACCTCCCAAAATATAGCAATGCCAGGTGAATGCAAACCCAGAATGATAAATAGGCGAGACTACTCGAGCACAAAACAAGTTCAAAGAGAAAATAAAATTGAAAAGGCATAATGGTAAAATTATATATAGTATCACATTATTGTTAATCAAAGACCTTTAATATCTGTATTGTTTTACCATTCAAGTATTACAGTATTAGTTCAAATAAGTATACCAGTAACAAAACTATAACCAACTAATAAATCAATCCCATTTATAGGACATTTCATGTGGGATTAATATAGTTCTTCAAGACTCTAACTGGACATGTTTCTAGCATGACTGGCCAACTCAATTTGGCTATCCCTCCTAGCTTGGAGAACAACCTTCCACGTTAAGATTTTTTATGGTTTATTCTTGTTGAGCTTAGCATGGACATTCGTGTCTTTGTTTTCTTCTATTGTCTTTCAATCTTGAGTCCACTTCTACATAAAATGGTCCTCCAGCTTGTATTAGGTCATGCTATGATTGATAATTACGTTAAAATAAAGCTCCTCCTGCATGAAATGTTTAGCATCCATGTTGTGTGCTTGTTGTATTATTTCCAAGGCAGCATGTGCTTTTTATTAAGATTCAACTTACATTTGCAGATTGCCTGCAAGTTGTATCCATGGAGTCAAAGTTTTGCACCATTTTTTCTACGATCTTCTCCTCCACCCTCTAAATTTGTCGGCCATCATCCCCCACCATCTTCCTCTCAATTTTAAGGCATCTCAATTGGTACCCACTTCACTGGCAATTTAACATCAGAGGAAACTATAATCCATGAAATTCAGAATACCAAAAAAGTCCCTAATAACCCTTAATCCAGGCTGATTTTTCCTGTCCTTATTTCTCTGCTCACTTCTTCTCTGTTATGTTCACTTCCTTTACTAAACCTTTTATGCTATTTTATTGCTTCTTTGTTGCTGATTTTCTATAGCTTTGCAGCTTATACTGTGAAGTAAAAAAACCCAAAACGCTCACCCCCACCAGTCACCCAACCAGCCACCCACCAACTCTAGACAGCATGTCACACCCTATGCCAACCCGCCTCCCAAAATTCGACTTAGAATGCAACAGAGGAGAGACTGTAAATTATTTACCTTATATCACATTACATTTCAATAAAATTCTTGTCATTCAAAAGCAACACCACTATAAAAAATATCATAACTAAAAAATCAATCATAAGTGAAAGTTGTCCATGCTTTCATTTCCAAAATGTTCATATACAGAGCAACTACAAGAAAACTAACATAGTAGATAAGTACAGGGAAAGCCATAATTAACATGAGCATCAATAAGTGAATATAAGAAAATTGCATGTAACCATTTAACAGGAATTATGAATAGTATGTTATAATGTATCAAGTGAAAATATTGTTAGGTAGGAACCATGTGAAACGTAATATTAATATCTTCGCATTAAGCTAGATGCCTTCAATATGAAAATGATATATTGCTTGTAAATCATGCATTATTTATTATTTTCAATATGTTCATCATACATTACTGCAGGTAATCATAAATAGATTTCCACTCATTTCAAAATTCTTCAATCAGCCTCGGTGTTAAGATGTCTAGGTTTAAGTATACAGCCCGTAGGCTCCATAGGTCACATTGCCTCTATGGCCCATTATAGCTTGTAGGCCTTATATCAGAACTCATAGGCTTCACATTGTAGCTTGTAAGCTTCATATCACACCAAGGTCACACTGTCTCTACGGGGTCGTACTGCCCCCACTCATTCATAACCTAACATGACATCTTCTCAGACTTAGATTATCATTATTTTTTTTTTTCTTCTTTAGGTTGTGACTTTCTGTCAGAGGTACCATTATATAAGCAGGTATGACAGCATGATTCATATTGTCATCATAAGATAGAGTAGTACACAGTGACATAATATAACATAATCACCAGTTACAAAAAGTAACATGTGGAATTTGTATGACTCTGAATTTCAAGCTAAACCAAACAACTAATAATACACATATACCCGTCACCCACAACTAGTTTGAATGTACAAATAAAAACAATACCCAACCAACTTGCATACATTATTAGAATACATATCTTACCTCATCGACGGGCTAACTCACCAAGTTGGACACCTCGAGCCGCCTACGTATATAGGGCACCTACGACAACCCAAATCATTAATTAACAATTTGCACGATTTACTCTCAGACTCACACAATTACATCAATTTTAACCCTAATGAGATCTAGGCAAAAACTTAACAATATCCATAGTAGTATACTATTGCTTCCACTCAAAAAATTGTAGAACACGCATTTTTTTCTACCAGCCGCTAGTGTTTTCCCTTCACATGTTATTAAATAAGTTACTTGGATATAAAATTTACATCTTTTTACATTCATTACCATCACTAGCGTTGACATAGATTTATATATATCTTAGTACAATAAAAATGAATAGAGAACATAAATTTATGTATCTTAATCAATAATTCCTACCTCAATTGTGAACCCTGAGTTACACAATCTACTCAAAAACTAGTTAGAGCATTAATTCCAAATATGTTCCCTTGAACAATCTTTTTGTGCAAAGCCAAGAGACAATTTTCTTGTAGCTACCCTTCCTTGATCTTTAGAAATATTTCATGCTGCACTATCAAACTACTAAGAATATCATGCGAAGTTTTTGCCAAGCACTTTAAATCAAAACCCAAAAAGTTCCTAATAAAGACTCCACTTCTTAACCAATAATTAAGGCAAATAACCAGTTAATTGTTTGCTATGTACATAAGTTAAAACAACAACTTTCCCAGAATAATAATTAATGGAGCAATCATAGTTCTTAAAAAAATTACATCTCCTCTATCTCATATTCAAATCCATGAGTGAATAGATAGTACACTCATATGATCCATAAAAATCTCAGAAATCTAACTATACATATAATTTTTCAAATCAAAATATGATAATAGCTAGTTTTAAAGCATGAGTAGGAAATTCTCATATTTGTTTAACTGCCTTAAAGCATAACCTACTACCAAGCTATTTTGAAGCAATATATAACCCAAACCTAAAATTGAAGGCATAATTATACACTTCAAGCCCATCTTCACCAGAAAGAATAATAAGTACCAACACTCTCCTCAATCAACACTTAAGCTCCTCAAAACTCTTCTTACAGACATGTTCTAGCTGAAATTGGCCTTCTTTTCAATCAATTTAAAGAATGCTATGACAATGTTGAAAAATCCTTTAGCAAATCTCTTATAGTACCCTACCAAACCTAGGAATCTACTACTAGGATACAGTAGTTGGCCTATTCCATTCAAGAATAGTTTAAATTTTTAAGGATTTACCAAAATACCAGCTCTAGGTAAGTCATAATTCAAAGTTATTACTCCTTTCAACCAAAAATACCACTTATTCAACTTGGCATAAAGCTGTTAAACACATAGAATCACAAGAATAACTATAAGATGTTGCTCATATTCGATCAAAATCTTGAAATATAATAATATATGATCAATAAAGGCAATAACAAATTGAGCTGAGGCTTGAGCACTAATTCCATGAAATTTGTTAAGGCATTAGTTTAGTCAAAGCCAATATCAAAAACTCATAATGCCAATATCATGTTTGAAATTTTATTTTAGGAAATTATCCTTCATTGACACTGAACTGAAAATAAAAAATAAAGTAAAATGGTATTCTAGGATTAGATGGGGGCATTTAAAGAATATTAACAAAAATATTTTTTAGAGTAAGATTTTAGATGTTAATATTTTATCTGTGCATTAGGATGTTAATGTTATGTGGGAAAAAGTGGCTAGTGATATTAAGAATATTGCAAAAGATGTGCTTGGAGTATAAAGGGAAAAGCTCCTAATAGTAAAAATAGTTCGTGGTGGAATACAAATGTGTAAGAAAAGATTAAAAATAAGAAGATTTGTTATAAAAATTTGTTTAATTTTAAAAAGTTGATAATTAGGAAAGATATAAAGAGGCTCGTAAGGAATCTAAGAAAGCAATATGCGATGCAAATACCTTAAATTTTAATGATTTATATAATAGATTAGATACTAAGGAGGGAGAAAGATATACGTATAAATTAGCCAAACAAAGAGATGGGAGTAGTAAGGATTTAGTTCAAGTGTATTAAGGATGAAGATCAAAAAATACTTTTCTTAGAAGATGATATTCAACAAAGGTGGATGAGATATTTTGCTAAACTTTTTAATGAAGATTGTGAAAATAAGATTGACTATAGTGACCTTAGCACCCTAAAGGAAAATAAAGATTTTTGTTTTTATCGGCGCATTAGTAAAACCGAAGTTAGAGAGGCTTTAAAGAAAATGAAGGGTGGAAAAGCTGTTGGACATGATGATATTCCAATAGAGGTGTGGAAATGCTTAGGAGATGAAAGAATTCTGGCTTACTAAATTTTTTTAATACTATTTTGAAGACTAAAAAGATGTCAGATGAGTGGAGAATGAGTGTGTTAATTCTTATTTTTAAGAATAAAGATGATGCACAAGATTGCGAATTAAAGAGGAATTAAGTTAATGTGTCATACTTTAAAACTATAGGAGCGAATTATGGAGCATAGGTTGCAGCGTGATACTAATGTTTCTCAAAATCAATTTGGATTCATGTCGGGTAAGTTGACTATGGAAGCCATACATTTATTAAGAGGGTTGATGAAGAAATATAGAGAAAATAAAGGAGGATCTACATATGATATTTATTGATTTAGAAAAAGCATATGATAAAGTTCCAAGAGAAGTGCTATGGAGGAGTTTCTTGAAAAGAAAAGAAGTTAATAACGCTTATATTCAAATCATTAAAGATATGCATACATCAGCTATTACTTGTGTTTCAAATACAAGGTGGTTTGACCAAAGTATTACCTATTTCAGTTGGGTTACATCAAGGATCTGCCTTAAGCCCATATCTTTTTGCTTTAGTCATGGATGTTTCCGCTTAAACATTTGCAAGAGGATGTACCTTGGTGTATGCTTTTTGCTGATGATAAATCTTCTTCTTGATAATATTAGAGGAGTTGAAGGTAAACATGAATTATGGAGGTCAACCTTAGAGTCTAAAGGTTTTCGCTTGAGTAGATCTAAAACGGAATATATGAAGTGTAAATTTAGTAGTAACAGACCTAGTGAGGGGATTGTGACTTTGGGAGATCAAGTCATTAATAAGAGTACACGTTTTAGATATCTATGGATGCTATGTTCAGAGTGATTGTGAAATAGATGGGGATATTATCAGCAGAATTCAAGTTGGATGGTTGAGTGGAGGAATGCATCGGGCTTGTTACCTCAAACTTAAGGGAAAATTCTATAAGATGGTAGTGAGGCCTGCAATGATTTATGGTGCCGAATGTTGGCCATTAAAAGAGAAGCATAATACTAAGTTAAGTGTGGCAGAGATGAGGATGCTCAAGTGGATGAGTGGCTTTACCCTTAGAGATAGGATACGAAATGAGCATATACGTGAAAAGGTTGGAGTAGCTCTAGTAGAAAATAAGATTAGAGAGAGTAGCCTAAGATGGTTTGGTCACATAAAACGGTGGTCTTCCGATGACCCGATTAGGAGAGTAAAGGCAAAACTAAAAAGAAAGGAAGAGGCAAACCTAAAAAGATTTGGTTAGAAAATATTAGGAATGACCTTTCTTTATTAGATTTAAATGAGAATTTGACTTTTAATAGGACAATGGAGAAAAATGATTCATGTTGCCGACCACACAGTGGGATAAAGGTTTGATGTTGTTGTTATGTTGTTGTTGACACTGAACTGAAAATAATCATATCTTAAGTCAACATGGGAATACACCCAAGTTCGTTGCAGCTGATCAAAAATATGTCAAGAGGAAAAAGGATATTTATTTTTTACAAGCAACTAATTCAACTACTTGTATGAGTGGCCTTAACACAAAATTCAACTTCTTTGATGGAGATAATCTAGACAACTGCTTAGAAAAATATGAACAGATTCTTAAACACTTGGTTTGTCTGCCAAACAACAGCATAAATATTGCAAACACCACCATTTGTTGCCTATCCACTCCTAGAGCCTCAAAAGCCATCTCAGACTGATTGATCTAATTCTCAACTTAAGTGATCCGGTTTTCCAAAAAAAATTGATGGTTGATCAACTTTAGTTGCTCAAAATTAATGAAAACCACAAATAAATGACAACCTCCACCCATCCTTCTATGGTGCATCTTTTGCACGTGATGTTGTTATTGTTATTGTTAACTCACTAATGCGCTAAGAATCCCTGAGTTTATTCTTGTTGATTTAAAATCTTAGCATAATAAGTATTGTTGAGGCACTTCAAAATAATTCACCCGAGGGTGCTATAGAAGAACCCCAATGCTAACCATAGATTGCCTTATAACATGAATACTCATCTTCTAATAGATATCATCTACTTCATAATCCAACTCAACTAGCAGCAATGCATTCTCTACCCCAATCAGCCTAATGCTACCCTAAATTAAAATCTAATATTAACGGAAAGTATTCCATCAATAACACAAAAAATTTCTTAGAATTCCACAAATCATAAAACTTAGCTCTAGTACTATAAAAGTTATTACACTTCAAAGGAGGTCAATAAAATTTGCATTAAAAAAAAATAAAATCTAGAGGAATACACAAGTTGAATGACACTAAAGCAAAAAAAAATCAAAGTTAATATTAGAATTAAAAATTATTCAACAAAAAACTTACAATTATAACATTTAATGGAATTTAATACTCATAATAGAATGAATACGTTTAGTGAAAGCTATTGTGAAAACGCAAACACTAATGTAGTCTGAAATAATGATTTAGATATATCCTATCTAAGCCCATAGTTACTCGATAACCCCAAATACACAGCTTTAAATGAGTGCAAGAGCTCACAAAGAATCTCACTCCGACATGCACTCCCTTAATAGTAGTGGTATTTGTTCCACCTAAAAAAGTGGAACAAATCCCACATCAAAGATATAGGAAATCAGCATCGCTATGTTTAATAGTTTGTTATCCCAATAAGAAATTGCCTACCAATTGTCTTAGCATCCATAAAACCAAAGAAAAGGTCAAACATCCCAATAAAATAATTTACACACATAAATTGGAATACTCAATAATCAATAATCCATTCTTCTATCCCAAATGTGATTCCAATTACAAGAAAGTAAATGCAGCAATAATATGAATAAGCTCAAATTTTAAAGGATAATTGAACAAATAATAATATAACAATTTATAATACATATTTATAATCATTGTGATTATTTAAGAGGATTTAATTACCAAAACTATGATAAAAGATATAAAATTTGTTCAAAACAAGTTACAAGGATTCTAACAATATAAAATTTGTTCAAAACAAAACTCTGCATGCAAATTTATGACCTCCCAAAGATTATTTTCGCATAAAGAAGCACTATAATTCTAAATTTGCAAATATACTAATTGATAGGCTATTCTACAATATATATTTATTAGTATACCCATTTCTTCTTCCCACCACTCATAATTCCTTCCTCTATAATCAATTACCATGCAACCCCATTATCATCACCCCACTCTCCCAATCAATTCATTAGTGACGATGAATGACATTCTGCACTCCAATCTTAGGTAAACGTTACAAGTAACTTCTACATTTTTTGCATACCTCTCATTCTATTTTTCTCTTAGGTTAGATAGCCTTTGACCATAACAAACCTTAAACTGGAATAACACAACTCCCTTGGCCTACCAACCCCCCTTTTAACTCCAAAGGCAATCCCTTGCCAGCTCAACTAAAGATTCAAATGATCTCTCATTTAGTCTATGCATAAGCATATATATTTTTCAATATAAAATCAAATTCATCAAAAATAACAAAACTAAAAAAAAATGAAAAAAAAAATAACAGATCATACAAAGCAGTTTTAGATCTAGCTAGAATATCATATAAAAGAAGACCCCTAATAACATAAAAATTTTTTTAATCCATTTTCTTTCAACAATGAGCACCTACAATTCCTCAATCTTCTCCTCCATCAAAACATAAATAATTAGGGTAAATTTTACAGAATGTTTGTTAATTACACAAATAATCATGTTTACTATACCAAAATGCCTTAATAATTACATAATAATTAAACCTAAAAACTCATAAAATGAAATTTAATTTATCCAATAATATCATTTTTTTAAGAAAACTTCAAAGAAACATTTCTTGGTTGCTTGCCTCCACCCATCCCCTACCCCTACTTTAATATTAGATTATGTAGGTGAAGATAAGGACAAAAAACAAACACATGGTACATATGCGTTTTTCAATATTTTAGACATTTGCTCATGTTTTCTTTGTCAAGTATAGCAAAGGGTTATCCCAATGACATTACAAACCACATAACCTTTGTGTATGACTGCCCTTTTTCACATTTTCTGGCAAACATCAGTGCCTAAAAATAGAGTGATTATTGCGTCCGGACACCGAACGTGTCCAGAGACCAATAAAAAAGTGTCACATCATTGGGCGCTCGGTACCGCACTCGGTACCGACTGCGGTACTACTCGGTACCCTCGGTGCGCTGTCCGGACAGAATAATTTTTCATAAAAATAAGATCAAATATTACAAGTTGATTGTTATCTTTTTCAAAAACTGACAAAAACCTATTAGTCCCACAAGCTATCAAATATAATTATGGCCTTAGCAGTGATGTACCGAGTGGTTTTTCTCTCTCAAGTTAACATTGGAGCGTAACTTACATATGAAGGAATGGTTGATCTCTAGTATGGTATGAAGACCAGCTATAATGACCTTAAGAACTACAACAAATAGTTTACAGCTAGTTTAGACATACGAAATAGCACCAAGAATTATAATTTATAAATTCAATATCACCAGAAATATTTTATGGCTACCCCGTCGGAAGAACAGGTATCAGCATAAGGCCCAGCATGAGGACATTCTAAACATTGCATTGCCTGAAAGATACGGCCAAAATACGATAATAAATGCCTCAATTCTACAAAATAATAATGTGAAATGATAATTAAAAACTTTCATTATCACTCCATAACAAACCTATGAACTAACGTACTACGGGAATCTTCAACACGTAATGCAAACCTCCTGAGCAGTAGGGATTATTAGGTGCGGAGTGCGGACGGGGAGAACCGTCCGCCACAAGCATTGGCGGGTGCTCGGTACCGCTGGGTACCGCCAGACACTCAATGTTTGTGCGGACGGTGTGCACTCTGCACCTAATAATTTTTCCCTGAGCAAAGATAAATGTCTGGCTTTACGAACCCAAGCTAGATAAGTCAACCTGACACAGGAATGGTAGAACTAAAGCATAGCCACTACGCCTTAAAATAGTAACAAAAACGGTTTCAAAAAGAATCAACTGGTCTAGAAAGTCTCTCTCATGGTCCTCGCGAACTATGTAGCTTCCCACTTTCTGCCTGCAAATGCCACCAGCATCTCGTCCGAGTTCAGAAATCAAGCATTCGTCCAAATTTTCAAAAAACACAGCAAAAACAAGATCTGGCTCATTCCCAGAGCCCGTCAACAAACGTATCCATATAAAATCACATACAGCGACAATGGAGAGCTGCGACATAAAGCAATAAGTAAACAAGATCTCCGATACCAGAACACAGAATCGAAAAGGAAATTATTGTTAAGAATTAACGAGATATTGATAGCATGAGCTGCCCCAGAACGAATAGTTGAGTTATCGGAAATTTTTGATGAGAGGATTAAAGCATACCTATGCCCTAGCTCACCTCCTCTGGTTGTGTGACAGAATGATAAATTTCTCTTCGAGCTATGACTTGGGCCGCTTAATATTTTGAAATCGGCGCGACTGAAGCACTATCGAGGGGCGCTCTGGCTATCGTCGCCGTCAAAATGACAGAGAAATTGGCAATATAATAACCTAATTCGTTATTCGCGGATGAAGGTGAAGTAGATTGATCTCCGACTAATTTATTATTTTGGCAGGTAAATTTTGTTTTAATTATTTTGGCATAAAAAATATTTGAAAAGAGAGAAAATTAACTTTATGTATTGGAAATGTCTAAAATTTAAAAAATACCCGCTATTTTATTTTATAGGAAAATATACTTGGAAGTTCTTCCACAAATCCCACTAAGTAGGATGGGCTACATAAATCAATTTTTTTTATTGTGTCATGTTCAAAGTCAAATTTTCATTTAAATCTAAAAATGAATAGTTATTTCTAATATTTTCTAACCAAGTCTTTTTAGGTCTATCTCTACCTTTCTTAACATAAGAAACATATAATACATCTACTTTCCTAACTGAGTCATCAGAAGGCCACCGTTTATGTGACCAAATCCTCTATGGTGTCACTCTTTAATCTTATCTTCCATTGTTGCTACTCCAACCTTTTCATGTATATCTTAATTTTGTATTATGTCTCTAAGACTAAAGTCACTCATCTACTTGAGCATCCTCATCTCTGCAAGACTGCAACACTTAACTTAATAATATCCTTCTCTTTTAAAGGCCAACATTCTGTACCATAAAGTATTGTAGGTCTCACCATCATTTTTTAGAATTTTCCCTTGAATTTGAGGTGGACTTTTCTATCTCACAATAAGCATGATACATTCCTCCATTTCAATCATCCAACTTGAATTCTGCTAATAATATCCTCATCTATTTCACCATCACTCTATACTTGAATGTTCTTCTATTCAAACAAAAATATCCATAAATTATGAAGAGGCACTCTAATTTATTAACTCATCCTATTCTTAGCGCCTTGCAATTCTCATTTGAGAGTGATGGTTATGAGGTAAATTTTTAATGATAGGCTTTCTTCTCCATTTTTGTCTCATGCTAGCAGCGATTGTTGGTAAAGATTAATAATATTATACATTTAGACTCTAAATCTTAAAGTTAGAAGTCAAAACATATTTCAATATTGATCAAAATATTTTTGGCAGTTGATCGAATGTACCTTAAAGATAATTCATAGTTTATTTATATTTCGGAATTAGAATAGAATAATAGTCAAAGAAGTTCCAAAAAAACCTTAACCAATATGATGGAATGTAGTTTAAATAACTTCTAGTAATATTGATGAACTTTCAATTATATTTTTGATGAAATTTTAAACATAGTTTGAATTTATTATTGTGTGCTCCACTACTCTTTTGATATTAATTAATTTGAGTTTTGCAAACATACATATGTATGCTCGGGTTACATATAGTTGGGGATGTGATGAAAAATATTATTAAGCATTTTGAGCTATTTAGGATTAATGACATCATTGTGTTTAACATGAGAGGCAAAGCACATAACTTTTGAGATATTTGAATATATTTAATGCATTACATTGCATTTAATAGATGTATTGTTTATTTTTATTGGATGTGCTATTGAAGATCAAAGCAACTCTTGGTATTTTGAATTCATAGTTACAAGTCAAAAGTACACCTATTATTTTTTTATGAAAATAATTCCAATCTTGATGATCTTCAAGAGCATATAATGATTTGCATGTGATGAGACTTGAGCACTTTATAGTAATATAGTTGTACTATTGATGTTGTTCTTGTATTTAGTTATACTAAAAAAATTATTTGTTATCTTATAATATTTTTTATTATACTCAAAATATTATTGTAAAAATATTGAAATTGCTTTAATTTATTATTGTAAATATTATAGTCAACATTTTATTTGTTCCTAATCATCACAAACAAGAAAATTCAAAATTCCTCATATTGTATTGTACAATACATAGAGAGATATGAATCCACCCTTCATTTGAAATCAATGGTTGATTTTTCACAAATTATTATAGTTCATACTATACAAACACATATCATATTGTACAAACACATCTCATACTATACAAAATAAATTGCATGAAAAAAAGCTAGTACAATAGTATAAGGGTCGATATGATCATTATTGCACATCATATTGTATGAACGCCTATTTAGATTGTACAATCCCTTTAGTCAACAATTGTGTGAGAGACCCCTCAAGATGAATGAAAAGATAGATTGTATTGTATGATTCAGGGTTGTACTAAATGCTTTGACTAGTATTTGTTTTTTTCTAGATGAAATAATTTGGATTCTATTAATCGAACAGTACTATCACAATTGTAATGTACGACTGCAATCATGTCGTACTATCAAGCATAGATTATAATTAGAAGGTAAAATTTCATTCCAAAGCTCAAAAATTTTATTTTAATCATTATTCCTTCTACTTCAAGTCCCTAATGTTCCTGAAGGCAAACCTATCCGCTTTATCTCTTTTGTTTCTTTTGTTCTTGGACACTTATGTTGATATGTCTGGCATTTGCAAGTGTGCGAGTATATTTCTTTGTGAGAAGGGCTTGCCTAAAACTTTCCTTATAAATGAATATTGAAACTTCGTTAGGGATGTTAGGCCCTATAAACTAGCCCAAGGCTAATTAAAAGAGAGAGGTGAATTGATATTTTAAAAAAAAAACTTTAAACCAAAGACATCAAACCAAAATCACCATAAATAAATCAACGATGCGGAAATTAAATGTGGAAGTAATAAAGGAAAGAATACACCAGATTTGTAGTGGTTCGGTCAAACCTTTACCTACGTCCACTCCTTGGAGGTACCATCCAAGTATTGCACTATAAAAGTGTCTCTCCTTTAGCCCCCACAGCTAGGCAGAGAAGCCCTTACAAAATCACTTCCACCTTCCACGGTGCGGCGGAGTCGCCTGGTCCTTTGACACCAAAGAGATCTTCTTCTTTGGTGAACTTCCCTCAAGACAAGCCTTGAATCCGATGGTATTAAGGTGCAAGCCTGCCAGAGCAATCGTGTGGATTCCCCCTCCACACTCTCTTGAGTCCCCCCTCATAGAATCTTCTCCCTCTCAGACTTCACCCGTTTCTCACTCCCTTTCAAGCTCTCTCTTCAAGTTCCCCCCAAAAGAATGAATCTACAATGGCTGTCAAAGAAACTTACCAAGTGTCATGCAATAGCTTAAATAGAAGATCTCAAAATGAGCTCATTAATGCAAGTTGTCGACTTTATCATCCAGGAAGATACTAATATCGTCATGTACTATTAGTGCAAAATAAGCCCAATCTGCCGGGACGATTTGAGATGATCAGAAGAAATTTATTCATATCATCCAGAACGAACGATAATATATCATCCTGGATGATCAGTACAAATCCTGGAATATTATCCTGATTATCTCCCTGAGAAAGAGCTGTCCAATGTCCAATCGTCCAGCGTATCGCCCCGATGATCCTGCGATCGTCCAAGATGATTTGATCGTCCAATCAAGTCATAATTGCTTTCCTTAAATGCCAGATTAATTTAGAAAAAATTATCCTGGATCATCGTGGACGATATTTTATAGTCCTGGACGATCCCCTGGACGATGTCCAAAAAAAAGTAATTCATAAATAGATATGGCGACAGATTCTTTCTATTTTGAGCCTATTGTCCTGGCCGATACAAAATCGTCCAGGATAATATTTTTACATAATGATTGCTGCTTTAATGAGGATGCCCTAATCAGGATTTTTGCTTTTGAACCGATTGTCCAAGATGATATAAATATCATCCCAGACGATGTTACCAAAAATAGTAAACTTTAGGGAACAGTCAAAGAAACTTCTAAGTTACAAAGCATCAAGAGCTACACCACATATAATAGACTCAAAGAAAGGAAAAATGGTACAAACTGACTCGGACCTAGTCTACCCAATCTTGAGTTGGTTCCAAATTGCAGTCTGATCGTGTGAACCTGAAAATGTCAATAGATAAGGCAATCGTATAGAACATATCATCCAAAATTATAATAAGAGTATTTGCAATAAGAGTGTTTGCTATCATCAAAATTATCATCCATGAAAATAGATCAGCAATAATCTCCACCTTTTTAATGTTGTCAAACATTATGATTTGAATTTGCAAACAAGAAACATTTTCTCCTAATCTCCCCCTCACTAAAATAAAACTTTAAAAATAGGGGATAAAAATTTTTTTGTAGTTTTTAATTTTTTTTTTTTGAAAGAAAAAAAAACATACAAATTCAACAGTACGAAAAACATACAAATTTAACAGTACTTTCTCCCCCTTTGACATTATCAAAAAGAGAAAGGGCAAAACACAAACAAAAATGATTAAAAGATAAAAACGATCCTTGATCTAGAGAACAAAACAAATATTCTTAAAATGAGAAAGTTACCTATTTATTTTAATCAAAACTTTGTGTAATTGTATTGACAACACATAGCCTAGAAAATATTAGAAATTCAGAATTTGATAATCCAAACTCAAGTTCTTTAAAAAAAGGCTCAAAAACTTTTAATTCAATATCTAAATCAAGAAATAAATTAGAAAAAGAAACACTAATTTTTCAAAACTCCTTTCATAAAATATATCTAATAAAAAATTAATGCATGAATTGTTGAATTAGTAATCATATTTTCAAAATCAAGTATCGAAAATATTAAGAATTTTCTTAAGCTTTTAAGAAGTACAAGAATGGTAAGCATTAAATTTTGTGAGCTCATTTTATGCCTCTTGTCAATTTGAATGGCGCTCTTTGCGCATCTTTTGATTTTTGATACACTTTTGTATATATTTTTCAATTTGATGTCTTTGCGCATCTTTTATTTTTGGCACCATTGGCCTTTTTTTTAATATGCTATCTTTCTGAAATCTTAAAAATAAAAGTAAATCCATCCTATTGACAAAGCAAATTTTTGATGAATAAAATTATGAGTTAGATTCAACAATTTGCAAAAGATTCCTATGCGATAAATAAAATATAGAGAGATAAAAAAATATTAGTTTCAACGACTAATTTAAAATATGAAAAAGATTTTAAATCAAAAGTAGAATAACCCCTTTTAGGAAATAGAGACTGAGAGTCAAAAACATAAGTTTCCTTCCTTTGACTGTTTTTAGAGAAGTCAAT